ATGAACTACTGTCAGGATATAGTACATGTTTCAGCAAATATGACAAAAGGTTATTTTTAAGTAAGTTATGTACTGAAGCTTTAAGTAAATATTAAGTACATAGCCTAAAACAATACATCATGCTAAAAGTTTGCAAAATATCCATAAAGTAAAATTCAGCCCGAAAGAAAACTAAATTAGACAACCTTTAAAAGAGAAACCAAGTGAAGTAGGGCATCCCATGAAATGACATTTCCTCAGTGGTTAACAGTTGTGTTGTTGTCATGTTGCAGGAGCTAGGAGCCCTCTAATGGAGGCAGCTGTGGGCTTTGCACTGGGAGCTGTGGCAGGCTGCATACTGGGAGCCACAGAGGACCCAGTGGACGAGACCCTGTCAGTGATGACTACAGCCGATTCACTGAAACCAGTGATGGAGGAAGCCAGGAAAGTTGGTGCTCTGGGGCTGGGGGCCCTTATTGGAGCCACAGCACTGACCACGGCAATGACCTCAGTTGTAGCTGGTGTGATTCTGGCAGCAGCAGTAGCTTCGGTGTTTGTGGCCACTAAGAGCTGTGGTGCCTCCTACATAGACTCTGTTGGCTTGTGGGCATCGGCAGGACTTGCTGGGGCCTTCGGGACCACTCTCAGTGGAGCCACACTCGGGGTTGCTATCGAATGGATTGTGAAGAATTACAGCATGATGGGCCTCCTGTATGCACTGAGCATATTCACCGTGCTCAAACCGCCCCTGCACTTTGTATTTAAGCTCCTCTGGAAGAAGGGAGAAGCCTATTGCACTCTGGGACCTACATTCAGGGCCAGGGAGAGGGAACAAATTGAGGTCATAGAGTCACAGCAGAGACAGAGAGTGGCTGTGCAGATAGAGCAGAGGATCCTGATGTTGGAGAAGGGAGGCAGCATCAGCGGGACAGAGCAGAGGACACTGTGGACCACGGAGCAAAGGCAGAGAGTGGAGATTGAGAGGCAGAAGATGGAGAGTGAGGAGGCAGAGATAGAGCAAAGAACCATCCAAGACTGGATCAACACTGTGGTGGTCAAATATGTGGACTTCTTGGCTTTCTCAGGGATACCAATGACGGTAGTTGCCATAGTAACATCAGGGTTTGGGGTGTTTGGTTACGGAGGCCACCAGTCTGTGTTTATAGTACTTCTGGCTTTGGTTGGAGTCATAGCCTATTTGCTGCTCAACTCATCTGACTTTAAGTTCTGGATGTTGGTCGGGTGCATGGGAATGCTCACAACGTTTGTCATCGCCATGCTCACCCTGCACGCTGGCCAGGTGGTCGTAACAACCGCCATGAAGATGAGAGCAGCGGGGCAGAGTCAGTCAAGAGAAAACATCACGGCTCGTATGAACCACCAATCCTCTCTTGAAGCTCTGAATGCAGCTTTCTTCGTGGCAAAACTGTGTGAGCTGGGTTTGGGCGCTACGGTGGGGGGGCCGCTGGTGAGGCGAGCAGCCGGAGAGGTGAAAGTCATAGCTGGAGCGGCCCTTGTGGCACTGGGTTTACTGGCTGGGGTAGAGGTTTTCGCCCCGGTGCTGGGAGGAGGAGGTAAAGCTGGGGCACTGCTGGGGGTGGTAGGAGCAGCGGGGGTTTCTGTGGGAGCAGCGGCGGCTGTGGCTGGAAGGTGGTCCTCATGGCAAGGAACTCTGGGAACAATAGCAGGGTTGGTTATAGGAGCACTGGGGGTTGGAAAATGGCATATTGTTAACGTTGGACTGCAGGTGCCTGTGGCCTATGTCTTCGCTATGACCAATCCATTTTAACATAATAAAATTGCTCATGGTGGGAACTGTTGGTCTAGACCTGCTCTATTTAAAAGGTATCCCGAGACACTGTTTGTGAATGAATTGGCACTATACAAATAAAACTGAATTAAAATTGAATTTTAAAGCAGAGGGCCACTAACCAAGCTGCAGTATTTGACAACTCTAGAGTGAGACTGGGTTGTCATTTGTCCTAGTAACCTGTTAAAGTTACTCTACTTTAAAGGATTAGTGTGGTGATTATTTATATTTTCTGTGCCATAGAGTTCCATTGTTGTCCAAAAACTATTAAAAACACATTAATGAGCCACACTGTTGCACTGGTGAGTGCTACATACTTTATTTGAATTAATGTACCCCTAGTGGAGCAGCTTGTGACGCTTTAGAATCAGCTCAAAGAGAGGACACAAGGGTGAAAATGGATAAAGGTGTACATTTAACACAGTGACACAAAGTTTGTTGTAAAATATTTCATGTTTTTATACTGAAGTTGACAATATGTCTTGAGAACATCATATGAGAACCAAACCGATGTCTGAACAAGAAGAAATACACTTCTTTATTCTGTTTTGAGTTTGTTTACTATGTTTTAGTATGAGCCAATGGATTCTGTCAGTTAAAGAAAAATGCCACCCATTAAAGGAACTCACTTTGACCTGCATGGGGAATTGTTTTCTTGTGTATTTCTTTGCTCCTGATCCTTCAATAATGAATATTATTATGCATTTCTAAGCAAAAGTATAGTGAAATAAGCTCTATACGTTTTTTTGTATTTTTACATGTCTGTACCTGTGGGCCGACTGTATGATAATCTTTATTAATTCAATTTAATAATGCAAGTGTTCTACTTAAATTCTGACATTCCTGACTATTAGAAGTGTTTATCTCAAATTTCCTAGTAAATGAAAAGGTAAAGAGGAATTTTTGATTTAAAAAGATGTTGCTGTAATCTGGTCCCTGGACCGGTTCAACCAGTTCCACTAAACATACTGCACTTCTGAATAAAGCCTGGACCTAGAGAACCAAGCTCTACAGTTGAGATTCCACTGGCACATAAACAGAAATATTCATGGGGTATCCATAAGGTGACATGGAGACTTTAAGGGATGTTATTTTAAATCTAAATGATTGTGTTCAATTTGATAACATTTGAAACCAAACTGAGGTGGTTAGACATTTTTTTAGTTGCCACCCCTGCACAAGATTCTGGTCAGTTCAGCCAAGTGACTTTTCACATTAGATTTAGTATGAATATGAATATAATATATGAAAAACAGAATGTATAATGAAATCAGTGAAAGGTTTATGTGTTTCCTCTTAAGTTTCAGCTTCAGGAAGTTCAGTTTCTCTCAGGCACATTCAGGGAACCTGTATAGGAATGAGATATGAAAGATTTATGGCAGTATTGCCAACACGTGATGAGGAGTGTGTGGCAGAAAGTGGCAAAACCTGTATTCCATGTAAGGGCGTAGGAACCAGGGGTGACGGGGGGACGTGTCCCCTCCAATATTGGAGACAGGCGCATTTGTCCCACCCAAAAATTATACCGCGGAGGAGAAAAATATTTGATTTTGGAAAATATTTTACTCAACCTTCTTTCTATTTTGGAAGCGCAACACACTGTCTTGTGGCAAACTTGTCCTCCCTTAAATCTGGTGACTTTTCCAAAATCTTCCCTTGCGGGAGCGTGTCCTTGCTGGTGTCAAAAAAAAGATATCAGAACCAAATAGCTTTTCCAAAAACAAAATTCTAGGACGACTTATTTCTGAGTATATTTTTACTTTCGTATGACTCTTGTGGTTAGGATGAGTTTTTTGGAGGTGGGGACATACTGAACTAAGTGTAGACACAGCGTGCTACTCCCAATGATTGGTGGAACTCTTCAGGGGGGACTTACTTATCCCTCTCCCCCGCCAAACGCCAGCCACCCCTAAGTGTGGCTGTTGACTCCCTTTCCCCTGTCCAAATAATGCACCTCACCAGGCGTCTCAAACAGTTCTCATTTGAGGTAGGGGCGTTGTGCAGCAGTCCCAAGAAGTTCCTGCATTCAAGAGCATGGTAGAGAAAAACAACAACCCAGAGGCGTTTTTCACTTCCGCCCGATGATATTCTATGCATTTTGTCATTGCATACCCGCCCGACGTACTCCCCGCATCCTGGCATCTCCATACACAAGCGGAGCCGCCGCCGTTCCCGCACTGGCTTACAGAGCGGGGTGTAAATGTTTCTTCACTCATTCTCACCAAAAATAAATTAAAAAATTAAAATTTATCAAATTTAGGGTTTTTTTTAACTCATTTTTCTCTCCCATGACCATGTCTACAGCGTCCATTACATGCGGTTACATCAGGCAAATTGCCAATTATGCAAATGAGGCGATGACTTCATCCATCGAATTCTAGCGACTTTTAGGACAGCCAATAGCTACTAGTAGTACTAGTAGTTTGGGTAGTAGTTTTTCCTTTATTAGTAGTTAGTTTTTCCTTTATTAGAGATTACATTTATTTATTTATTACAAGTAATTTAGTAATTGTACAGTTTTTGCAACTACAAGACAGTTTTGTTTCACTTAGCAGGGCTGTGGAGCCCAGCAGAAAATCTGCCAAAAGACTGCTAAAAGGAAAAAAACAACAAGGAATGAATTTGTGGGCAAAAAAAAAAAGTGCCCTCACTTAAATAATCTGCGCACGTGTGCAGTCTCAGCAACATTGTTTAATCCAGCTGTAATGCTACAGTGGACGTAGTTTCAGAAATCCTGACCAACCGTGGCTGCTATCAGTCAGCTTGTGAATGGTCAAGCTGCACATATATCCCTGTGTAGCTAATGATAATAGCAATTCTGTTATCCCTTAAACATGATACAAATTATTCACTATGTTTGAGTCATCAATGTGCACAATTTAAAAAATTTAAAGTAATTAGAGTTTTTAGACACCTGCTGGGATCTATACATCATTGCCTTACAATCAAGGAAGTAGTTTGTAAATATTGCAAACTCAGTTTATTTTCATATTTACACAATACATTTTCCCCACATATTAAGTCGACCTAAATGTTTGTCACATCATAGTATACAACAGTTGTATCAAATGATTTCACATTATGTGCAGTTGATTATGAAGTATTTATTCTTGTGCCTGTAGTGTTGATATGTGGAACTGTGGTATGATCTGGCATGTAATGGCTATCTTCAACATGATTGGACATATGTCAGAGGGTTAACGCACAACTTTTACTGGGACTGGATCTAGTAATATCAGCCATGTGAGTAATGCTGGTGAAATTTGGATTCAGTGTCACTGGAGGAAATGTTTCAGAAATGTCCCCATGGTTACGAATGTCATCACTGGGGGTAGAAACATAGAGTATATGCCATTGATACATGTTTCATGACTTATAACTGGCAATAGAAATGTCTTCACCAGCTGCAGACATCATTGCAGGTTATACTGTTGGGAAACACCATCCACACGCATCGTCAGGACAGAAACAACGTTACATTATTACCAAGGGCAAACACATCATCACTGTGAGTACAAATGTCAACACTGAGGGGGCGATGCACCAGTCTGATACACTGGATTCTTTTGGCATATACTGACCTTTTTTATTGAATGGTTCTGTGCGTGCAGGGCGCAAGACTCAGCATCTCTCCAGATTAAGTAAATTAGTAGTTCTCTTCCTTTTTGTTTCAAGTCTGTTCACTCAGAACATTCTTACATACATATCATACAGCTAGGAAGAACTTTTGGACATTGGATTCCACATCTTAGACAACTTTATCTGTGATCTCTAGCTCATTCTAGAGATTGCCAAGACAGTGGAGGCTACCAACCTGTTTCCACTGACTTATTTATTTGACTAAGCCCTCTTCTTCTCATATGGTATACTATGAGAAAATGATTCTAGACTTTTTGTGTAGATGAGTCCTGACAGACTGAGTCCTTAACATTTGTTTAAATCTCGATTCAGCCGTTTTTTGCATCATTTTAAAATGTAAATTTGATTTATCGCCCAACTCTAGCAAGTGTTAGAAGAACAGGACTGCTTTGTCTTCATTCATTCAAAGAAATCTGTTTCACTCAGGTGGATTGAAACATACATCATTCAAGATTTATAGTGAACACACAAGGATATAAACCTTCTAGAGTGGTGAACTAGGTGCATTAAAGTTTAATGCATGACTGTTGCTCAGAAGGCTTCACCGTGGGTAGACACATTATAGCTGTGGGTAGAAGTGTTGTCAGTGGTATGTTGTTGTCATGAGCAGTAACATCATCACTGCAGAGAGAAACACTGACTGCAGGTAGAAACATGGCTCCGGGGCAGCAACATTACTATGGGGAAAATAGCTGGTGTCAATCGAGGTCATGTATTCTGGAGTGAATTATTTATCTAAAATATCTTAGGGCAGAAAGAAAAGATAGCTCAACTTTGTTCAAGAACACATGGATGCATATGGAGGTTTGTTGTCAGCTCTCTTCAGTTTCCATCCAGTCTGGAGGGGACTAAACTTGCAGGGCAGCTGGACTCATGAGAGCACAAAACCACCATCTTGCCATGCTTCAAGCTATGTGGTTGTGTGGCAAAACTGCAAGAGGTTAGACAAATTGGCATCCTTTGAGGAACTACTGGTGGCTATGATATGAGCTACAGGGGTGGTTTAACTGTTCGTTAAACAACAATGGCGGCTGTTAAAGAGGTTGGCGTAGATGCTGCTAGAATCAGTTACATCAGAACTGAAAGAAGAGCAAAGAATGCCACTGAAAGCTTTTCTCGATGGAAAATATGTTTTCATTCTTCCCCCAACTGGCTTCAGTAAGAGTTTGACTACATTATATGGTTTGTTGATCTGATTGGTTGAAGTTCACCCGTGATAGACTATGATAGACAGATGATTCAGCCAATCCCCCTCTGACAATTTTTTGAAAGTGCCTGGTTAGAAGAGACTCAGTGTTATAGTAACAGTGTTCATCAATCCAGCCACACAGACATGCCAACTCCCCCACTGTGCATTGAGGTCTTCAGTAAGGCTTATTGTGGTAGATTTGAATGGCTGATTATGTGTGTATCTCTGCTCTGCCTTATTGCCCCTGTCATGTCAGATCAATATGGCTCCCATTAGCTCCCATCTCCACATTGATATTTCCATTCACACCTACTGTCTGTCATCTGCTAACCCATTTGAACACTGAAGCCTGGGAGCGCTCTTCACACAGCAGATGATTAAACCCAATCAACCCCTCGCTCTGTGAGGACGACACCATGGGGGAAATGTTAATGTAGGTCACATTAGTAAAGCTTTAGGGATTTTTGAACCCATAAACCCGAATTCAGGAGGAAGAAAGAGTGATGGGAAGGTCTAGGGGAGGTTTTTAAAGGCTGTTTTGTGTTTCCAGTACTTTGAGCAGGCTGTCAGATGTAGGGTCAATTAGGCCGTTGTCTGAAAGAGAGGCGTGGAGGGAGAACATGATCAAAATGCCTGTGTTGAAATATTAATAGAGTGATACATGTCTGGGAGGTGCTGCCTAGTGAAGTTTCTGCTGTTTTTGATGCTGTAGTGTTCGTGTCTATCCTCAGTGAGCAAGAAGGAAAAAGACTTAATTTGCAGTTTGGATTGTCTGACCACTTCTCACCACATGTTTCAGCA